CTTTACTGAGCTAATGACAATATGCTCTTTCTAAGGCCTTCTTGTGAAAATGTAAAGTAAATGTGGGCCTTCCCAGTGCAGGAAATTTCCTTCCTAAAAAAATTTGAGGAAAAAAGAAGAGAGTAAAAACTGGAAGGAAAAAAGATAGAAATTGGAAGAATAGCAAAGCAATTGCAAGAAAAGTTTCCTTATGTTCTTAATTTCTTAAACCCTTTAATTCTGGCTTGAAAACTTTGCTTACGTATTCATCAGTATAGACAGAATCACTAAGGTTGATGTTGTTTTTTGACAATGACACTAACTATAGGAAAGGAAACTTTTATGTGAAAATGTGATGCACAGAGAAGCAGCCCAGAGTTTATTAAGAAAGCACTTGATGATTATAATAGTCAAAGCAATTTCTTAAATCATAGAAACTTTTTTCAATATTCACCGTATATATTTACATTTACTAGAAGCCGAGCACAAGGGACACAGGGGTACATGCACTCAATTCTCAAAACCAGCAGCTATGTTCCTATTTACAGCCAACAAAGGTACCCTTACCCAGAGTTACTTCCTACGTCTATGCTCTAATAGAATCAATTTTTTGTTTCTGTTACATTGTGTTGTACCCTGGGTACCAGACTCGTTCTCTATAAAATAAGATACTCGCTCTTATTTTATATAAAGTGAGTCTGGTACCCAGGGTATTTGTGTTGCTGTGTGATTGAGTTGTGGGTGATCATTTTTTTACCGTTTGGTCAAGGAGGTTAGTTGAGCGCTATGTCACTGTAGCATGCTGTAGACAGGCGAGCGTTTTGCAACCAATTTTACCTTGTTTTTTTGCAAATATACATGGAAGGAAATTAGAAGAAATTCTCTGATTTAAGGGAAGGACATGAGAACAAAATAAGGAAAAAATAAGGAAATCTCATTTTGGAAAGTAGAAGCACTGGGCCTATCATTGTTTTGAACTCAAATTCATTGCCACGCTATCTCAGCGGTATCCTAAACATCCACATCAACACTTAAAACCCAATATTGAGGAAAATTTACGGGCGATCGGGCCTTTTCAGCCCCCCCCCCCTTCTGAATCGACCTCTATATCGAGAAATCCCAATTTTCTTCTTGCCATTCAGTGCGGTTTCTATAGCGGATGTCGAATTCGTCCGCAGATTTGTTTGCTTACCTTGCCGGGGCTTTGAAACCAGATAGAAGGAAGGGAAATAATCCTCCTTCATTAATACAATTAAGATTATTGTGTTAACCCCAAAGCGGGCTGGAAATGAGAGTTGCTGTGGAGGGGACGCCGGGGGCTCGACCCCCTTGTTAAAAGGCATAAAAGGAATCAGCTCTTAACAGGAGAGCACTTGTTTGGTTGTACGCATTTGTGTGTTGGTAGCCCTTTATAATGCTTTAGCTTTCATTTAAGTGAGCTATTATGAGCTATTAAGTGTAGCAGTCTTTCTGAGTGTTGAATAGTTTGAATGATTTCGTAGACACAACAGAGAGAGAACCTTGAATACAAGTTCTAGAAGTTGTCTGCAGGACCAGCCCCTCTTAGCGTATAAGGATGGCACTTCTGCTGGTGATGGTTCAATTCTTGCAGCTACCGCATATTTCTCAACTGACTCTTCTTCGGAAAACAAAGATAAACTTGTGACCTTGCAGACACGATTGAAAATTGATGTCAATGAAATGATGCAAAATAATTTCGGGGCTAATGAATTGTAGGAAAGCAATGATTAACGTTGCCAAGTTGTACCAATTCAGGCCAATAGAATGCACATAAATTAACTTTTTTAATTTGTTAAGAAACTAGTTTAGAAGAAACTAGTACCAGGATGGCCAAAAATTAGTGTAGCTTTAGTTCTAGGCCCAAAAAATTTAAGAAAGTGTAAAATTTTCTTTTCTAAGAAAAGAGTTAAAAAATTTTTACTTTCTTGATATTTCTTTGGAAAAGAAAACATACTTTGGAATATGATCTGCATGGGGCTTTTTCGCGATGATCTGTGTTTGTTTTCTTCCAAAATGCTCAACTTCAAACCAATAGGGCAATTTCAGGTCCCGAAATAAGAATCCAACTAAGAAACTTTAAGTACAAAAAAGCCAAATTTTGAAAGCCAAATAAGAAGCCGAGGGGCAATTCACTCTTGCAAATAGCGTACGAAATTTTCCCAAAAACAATATGATTTCTGGGGATTTTCAGCTGATACAAAAGGATTTTCACAAAAGATGTACGAGATTTTTGTAGAGTGATTGGCCCCTCGTAAGAAACTTTAGTACTTGGCGCTGATCCGAGGGGCAAATCACTCTACAAAAATCTCGTACACCTTTTTTGAAAATCCTATTGTTTCAGCTGAAAATCCCCAGAAATCTTTTTGTTTTTGGGAAAATCTTGTACGCTATTTTTAAGAGTGAATCGCCCCTCGCGCTGGTCCAAGTTCCTTATAAACGAACAAACTTGTAGGCCTTATAAACTTAGGCCATTTTATCCGGCAACAGTTTTTGCAGAAATTTTTTTTCGGGTTCACATTCATTAAGACGTCAAAATTCTGGTTATGAGAAAAGTATGGTTAAACGCTTCCGTTTTGATGTAACGCCAACCCCCTGACTTCTGCAACAAAGATTAATCCAAACCTTCAGTCCATACAATCTAATGGGCAGTTTCTTGTTATCGCCTACAAATGTTTCTTTCACTGTTGAAAAATCCATAAGCAAACTTTGTAAAATATCTTCACTCTGTTTACATTCGTGCGCATGTATGTGTATTCAAGCACAGAAAGGAATAGTTTTCAATTTCATTAAATGTTTGCAACCGCAAAGATATTTCGGACAGAAAAACTGACGTCATTTTCAATTGCTCTCTGTTCCATGCACTTGTTAGCTTAGCTACCGTAATTCAAAACCACAGTGACAGGCTCAAGAAGCACAATATACACAGAGATATGCTGATACCAAAATTATTTACAATAATAACAAATTGATTCTGGTAGTGATAAATTCTGGTGACAGACATAATAAATATTTTACTGACGGAAAATATGAGCGAGCGACGCGACAATGGCAGGACTCGAATCAGTGACAATGTACGTCCTTGTCCATGGCACCATTATTGCGAAAAACTGGCAGTACGAGACACTATAGAATTTGAGTATGCGCGGGAAAAGCGAACTTATTTGAAATTGATGATATCATCTTATTCAATTTGCTACTTTCAAACGTGGTTTGTTCCCGCGTAAGCATCAGCGGCAGAAAGTTATCCATATACAAAATAAATTTTGTTCAAAAACACTTTTCGCGAAAAAGATGACAAATGTCCTAATAAAAATATTTCAATCTTTGACAAAGAAAGAAAAGTTTTGACAAATAAACATTGTTGGACGGACATGGTAGAAAACCTTTGATCAGGTCATGTGCAGAAATGTAAAACCAGAAGAAGAAATTTCCAAAGAACACCATGTTAATTTATATATTCATACTTCTTTATATATGATCATCATAGATATACTTTAAAAATATTTTTGATACATATGTTAACCTAAAATTTCAGTAAAGTGCATTAAAATGGTTTTTTAAACACGAAATCTTACTTTGATGTAAACCTAGAAACTCTTGCACTTGAGTGTAAATTGATTACTCAATTTTTAAATGAAATAAGAACTAAATAAAATGAAAATAAGACTAAGGAAAAAATTAATGTTTATTTTTGCTTGTGAAGAGTTACGAGAATGGGTTGAATAATAAAAGTGACTCGGGCCCAGCCTCCTTGCTAATGCCAGGAGTTGACACAGTCTTGGGATTATTTCGGCAATTTTGAGCTAAAGGTTTCTTAATTACAAAGCTGCATTTTTAGAAACGAAAATGTAACATGGAAGAACAACAGGAACAAAAGCAACGAAGAAGTCGCAAGGACTTTCTATTGATCCATGTCAATTGAACAGAAAATGGGTGCAATATAAATCGTAATGAGATATCGCCTTCCGATCTTTAAAATAAGATTCTCGAGCAGTTTTTCTGGTCATCTTCGCTCAATTCTTATAAGTGGCTTTAATTAAAACAAGATACGTGTGCTCAACTAATTTTCAGGTAATTGCTTGCACTGGAAATTAGCTAGATGATACAATACAGATTAGAAGATCTGCAATCCAATTGGCAGTCTTACAACTCGCAAATAATGAAATTTACTATAAACAAGTCATTAGGCTAATGTATTTTCTACTGCCAACAATTTCATGGTTCACACGCTATTTTATCATAAGACTAGAAAACTGAAGTCAGGCTGGCTGCTCATAACTTTGTCACAACTTTGAGGCTGGTTTGTTCTTAATTTGTTTTCAAATTATTAGTGCAGTTGTAAGCTATTGTGCTTAAGGAGAGTGTTCAAGCCATATTTGCCAACAAAATGAGTGGGATATCCTTATTTGCCGACAAACTTGAAAATTCACCGACAAAGCACCCCTGGTGGGCAAAAAACTACTCTGAATATTCAAGGGGGTTTCAAAACTTTGTTAAAATTTCATTTTCCAGTACCTCAGTCTCAGCTTGTTTAAATTTTTTTCTTAGGTTTTGACCAAGTTTGAGGCTCGTGTTCTTATAAAATTGTTCTTATAAAATAGTGTAATTCAAAAAATTTTTAGAAGCACATTCAGATGAGACATTCCACAGCTGTTAATTTCTCTAGTGTACAAAATTTTTTAAGAATTTTGAGGCTGGACAAAACTTGTAGTATTCTTATATAACATTAAGTGTATTTTTTAAAGCTGAAATAGGCCTAAAGGGAATTTTTATACCGATGTATTTTGTTGCCACAGTCCAGTCTAAGATATTTTGATTTACCCATTCTGAGTGCACCTGAAATAGGGATAAGTTTATGATGAATCTGGTTACTAATATCTAACATCATGATTATGATACTTGATGAAAACAAACGGTTTTGACTTCTGTGCTCCGAAATACGGCTAAGGCCAGGAGCCGTTAATCTTTCGTCCAGTCTGATTGGTGTCTTGAAGAGGCATCCCGCTAATTTCTGCTTTGTTTCAGTGATTTGCTTGACCAATCGACAAGAGGCGGTCTGAATTCTACAAAAGCCATGCTGAGCAAGCGTTACGCGATTTCAAAACTGAATAGCTGGGTTAGGATTCTTGCCAAGATTTGATCGTTAGGGGTTTTACGCCAGTGGAATATTCCTTAACGGAGTTCACATGCACTTCATGGTTTCGGCATAAATGGTTCACTCGTGTTTTTGTGCAAATAATAGGCTCATCAGGGCTAATGCATCAAATTTTTTGGATAAGTTCTCGTACTTCTTCGTCGATTAGATGATTCATGTGTCTGTGGATTTTCGTGACGCCGTTTGTCTGCGACGTTCGCTAAGTATTTTGTCTGACGGATGTGTCTGCTGGTGCAGACTGCTTTGTGAATAAGTTGTAAACATGCTTGCCTAAGGCTGAGTCACATTTGCATGCTCGCCTTCGATGCGTATGAAAAGCTAGCTGTACTTTGAGACGTCACTAGTTAGGATACTAAAGCAGTTGTTTGTTCTCGCTTGGCCAGTAATTGCTCCTGAAGGTTTTGTCTTTGGCCGCGGATAATTTCTGGACAACAGCACAGCGGATTTCATAGGGATTTGGATAGATCCACGTTTGATGTCAGAAGAAAGTTTGTTGTGTTCAACATTATGCCGATCAACTCGATGTTTCTAGCTATTTTTCGATCAAAGTGATTCTTACTGATATTTCGCACAGCATCAAGTTTGGATACATAAAAATTCAATCAACTGCTGCTCCGTTTTGCAAGGATCTATGAAGCCCAGTAACTCAGTTATTTTTAACTGCTGCGAACAGCCTGCCAGATCGCCATTTCTTGCGGAGTGTTTCCTCGAAATTTGAAGGGATTTCGCCTGTTTCCTTTCTTCATTGGGAAGGAGTTTATTTTCGAGTCAAAATATACGACATAGCTAACATTTGGGCGCGTTTTTCGGGCTCGCTGCTTGTGTATTTCAGAGAGTTTCATCGAAAATTTAGAACGACAATTTCGAAGGCTTCGAGACAGCCGTGGCGAAACAGTTGTGCTGGACAATTCGACCACGTCTTCGCCGCTATTTGCAGTATTTTGCGATTAAAAGAGAGCATTTCGAAGTTCTGGTCAAGGAAAGCTGTTGTGAGGGGAGAGACAGACAATATGAAAGGAAATTCTTGAATCTGCGGCTTTCATTCAACGAATTTGACCGTGAAACATTGATGGCGATCGTCGCTTGAAGCAACGAACGGTCGTGGGAATTAATTTGAAAATTTGGCTGGAATTCTCAAACTTCTCGGTTGGTATCGTTAAACCGTAATTTGTTTTGATAACCTGTAGTTTCGGAGGACAATATTTTGGGAGATAGCCAGAAACTTGTACACACAGAGTACACATTCAAATTGTGGCTGCCGCATTGGTTGACGGCCTGCTGCTGGATTGTGTTGTTAACTGAGAACGAAGAAAAATGTCATCGTTTCACTCAGCTATGGATATAAGGATGCATCATCGTGAACCTATTCGTGATCCTTTACTCGATTTGATCCTTAAAAAGTACAGCCAGGCAGCTCGAGACTCAATTCGAGGACCTGTTGCTACAAAATCTGATATGAAAGCCTTCAAGAATGTAAGGCAAGCAAATCTTAGGGCGGAATCGAAAGATTTTAAGCTGAAAAAAGAACCCGATCCTAATAAACTTCGCGAGACGAATTTAGACGGCTTTAATGTCGGTTCCTTCAGTTCTGGAGGAGAAAAGAGGCTATGCTTCACTGAACTTGTCCAGAATGTGCTCAAAGACTACAACGTGCATGAAATTTTCAGCCGGAGGGATGAACTGCTGGTTTATTGCTCGAAATGTACGCCTCAGCAACTCGATGCCTTAAAACTCGCAGGAATCTTACCGTGGACTTCGACATCAAGCAATTTAATTACTAAGAGCGACGCTTATCGTTTGTGGGGAAGCTTGTACGGTCCTCGCGCTCCGAAAGTTGACCCGAAAACCCGCGGACGGGGAACGCTCAATTTTGAGGTTTATCACGAGTGCTTTGGTGGATGTGTCGGTGTATTTGAGCCAGATCTGTACACAGAACCGACTTCGCAATGCATACGTTGTACAGAGTGCAATGGCCTATTTTCTCCAAAGAAATTTGTTTCCCACAATCACACATCATTCGACGAAGTACACACGTGCCACTGGGGTTTCGAGAGTTCAAGATGGAGGTGTTATTTATTGTTGGTAGAACAAAAGCCAACAAGAGAGTTAATGATTCTATGGGACAGTGTAAAGAGCAAGTTTAATAACAACCTTGCTAAAAAGTCTGGATCTTCAGACAATGTAGAAAAGCAGGATCCAGACTTTGTGGCTTTTATAAAGTCTCCTGAGAGAAAAAAGGCCACATTCTCACCAATTGAGACATTGAGAATAGATAGAGAGGCCAGGCTGTCTTCTTCAGACACAGATTCCTCAGAGGGACGTCCATCTTCTGCTAATGAAATAAAGGACACAGCAAGACATTCAGCCTTTCACCCATGGTCACCCACACACAAGCTCCCATCTCAGAGAAGAGAAATGGAGACAACAAGCCAAGCACATTTCATTTTTCCATCTGGTAGCAAGAAAAGTGACCTCAACATCAGTGCCACACCAAAACCGTCTCACAGTTACCCAAGCAGGGGGAGCTACCAACATGCAGCAAACCTTGCTGTTGTTCATGCTCAGTGTGGATGCCCTGCACCCCTTGGGTCATCCCCACTCTATTTGTCATGTCAACAATGTAAGAATGCTGCTGCTGCATCATGTAGTGGGTTGCAACTTTTGGCACAAAAAGCATCAGAAAGACCGGGAGAAAATGACAAATCAGGACTTGACTCTGGTGGCCAGGGCTCTTGCCCAGCTGGTTGTGAAAGGTGTCAGTCTCAAAGGTCAGGGAGCAGTGACAGCTTAGAAAGCACTGTAGAAAATATTTTGAGAAAGTACATGTCCTCAGAAGTCAAGCAACCAAACATCAGTGATGTCAGTCAAATATTAGCTAGTGAATTAAAGAAGTTACATTTGAGTGAGGAGGACAAAATTAGAGAGCTTACTTTGCAGAATCAAAGGCTACAGGCAGAATTGCATTTGATGAAAATGAACTATGAAAAGAAATTTTCAGAGTCGCTTGAAACTAAGAGGAGGGTGGAACAAGAACTAGAAATTGTTCAAAGGGAGCACCAGAAGGACATTGCTCGATTCAACCGCATAACTTGGGAATTCCAACAAGAAGCCAATAGACACAAAGCTGCAAGTGATTCTGGGGACACAAGAGAGACAATTGAAGCTTTAAGGAAAGAATCAAAACTGCTGCAGGTGCAGTTAGAACAAAGTCAAATTGAGCAGGAAAACTTAAGGAAACAGGTGCAGAACCTCCTTCACAGCAGCTCTTATAGTAAACCTGTGCCGCGACAAAGTTCAAACATGGATATTGACTATCCACAAGCACAGAGCATTGTGAGGCACTTTCCTGTCCATCTGAAACGGGAAGCAGATGAAGATCCAATGGATTCATGGAGAGGAATATCACCATACACATCAGGGATGTCTACACAGAGTACAGCACTCTCATACCAAAGGGAAAATACAAGGGACAGCCAGGTGATCATCTGCCCAGGAGGAGCCAACCCGGAGAAAATGAAGAGAACTCTTGATGCGATAGAGACATCCGATGAGAGTGATGTTGAAATAGAAACATGAGGTATTTTTACTTGTTAAGTACTTCATTTAGCAATCATCACTTGTTTCTATAGCCTGTAGCCATGTACTTATTAGGAATCAATACTTTACAAAACAGTAGGTTCATTTCACTTTGAAATTTCAAGGGGTCAGGCATACCTTTTCATGGTGGTAGAATTTTAATTTGACAAATACAATTTTAATCCTGCATTCTGACTCTCAGAGGCCTGTCATGATGTCTCTTTGGGGATTTTCAAGGTCCAGCTCTTAAACATGACTGAGTTGACCAATATATGTAAGATTTAAATTTTACTGACAAAATGAGAAGGTTTGTAAGTCATACTAAGGTAGACAACAACATAATTTTGTTTGTATGATGTTAGTTGTTGTTCTCTGAATAGTATTTGATAAAAAGTAATATTCTTATTGGAACATCCCTTAGGCATTACTAGAGGTCAGTATTTTCCAAGTTTTATTGGAAGTTTTTTGACTTTACAACACCTTGCATCAAACCTGTCTAATTAAGGTTCAAAAGGTGAAGTTAATAGGATGCATATTATGCTGTTTTGCTGGTATGCTCCTTTTTCAAAAAATTGATTTCAAATCAACTTCAAAACCATCAGCAACCATTGCTAAGCCCCAATAATATAATACCTTTATGTTTTCATATTTTTGTTTTACTTTGCAAGGAAAACTTATAGGAATCATACATCTGAATAAGAAAAAAAACCAAAAAGTATTGATTGATCAGGTCTGGCATGTACATGGCCTTAACTGCTAGTGCCATTATAAATATATACATATTGTTATGCTGCTAATTTAGGCTAATTGTGATTTTTATGTAGCGTTTTGAGTTAGAACGTGTAAAGGGAAAACAGTGACTTAAAATTTTGAGGTAAAAGCCAAATTTTGATATCATTTAAGGTGTTGTTGAACTTGGCATTTTTATTTTGATTTTATGTATGAATTATTACTGTGTAACTCTGTAGCTTGTTTAAATTGAGAATTACTGTAATATCTCTAAGTGTTTAAACAAGTTGGTAATGCAACAGACTATGGGTGGCATGAAGTTTTGCATTTTGTTGTTTATTTTAGCTTAATAGAGTAGGAAAGTTGGATGATCAGATTTATGCAAGTTTTCTTTGTGGCACTTGCAAGTTTATTGTTTGACATAAGAATTATATGTTAAACTTTGATTTAGGTGCTAGAGTAGTAAGTATGTTTAAAGAATAGGATAGATGTTATCAATAAGATTCCAAGAATAGATTTAACTCTGGTCAGCTTTCATGTGGGCTGTACTTTTAACTTCCTGGTGTGAATTTTAGATTCTGTTTCCAGTTGCTCCTTTTTGCCCTTTTTACACATCATGCCACTATTGTTTGTTGTATCTGTGTATCATAGTGTCTTGCAGAAATGCCTAGTGTTTTTGTATCTTATAGTAACTTTGACATTCTCCAGGATTCAATATACTAAACATAAAATGATTTATTCACGACGAAATGATACATTTTGAGATGTCTTAACAATAAAAAGAAATCAGTGGAACATGTAGTATGTCCAAAGTTATCTAGTTATCATCAGTATGTTGTGGATTAAAAGCAACTTTCGTGAAATAAAGGTGTTTTTTGAAGGCAATCTTATGTTATTTGCAGCCTATTGGCACATGTCACCCTTCCATCATCAAGTTAATACCAGTGATGTTAGTCCTTTTAGATTCATCAATGAGGGGTAAAGGGTAGAAACTTGTCCATTGATTTTTTAAGAGGAATTTGACTTTTACTTCAGCAGACTAGAGAGGTGCAATGTAATGCCAATTTTAAAATGCTGTCATCCTCTCCAAACCCAGGCAAGTACTAGCAAAACAATGATATAACATCATCATACTTAAGCTCATATAGGAAGCTTTTATCTTGAGTAGGTTGCAGTTAATGTTACCCTCCTGCTTTCAAAACTACCCCAACCCGCCCCTGCTTCAAAAATCTACCAAACAGAACTTGAAATGTTCTCAGCCACACTGTTTGCAACTCACTCATCATGCACTAGAAATACTGATGAAGAATGCGTATCATGCTAAGCCCTCCTGCCCAGTTTTGTCTGATGTGTTATCTTTGAAACTCCCATTCAATCAGTTACTGCAAATGTTTATCGTAGCTTGGAGAATTGTTAATTAAATATGTATACAGAATTATGGTATAGTAGAAAAATTAGTATGTTTTCATTCCGTTTTGCCGTGGATCCTAATTTTTTCCTATTTTGTTTCCTGAAGAAATTGCTTGATTTTGCTGGACATTGAAGGCTCAGCGTAAACTGTTTTTGCTTGAGTGAACATTTTCCATTAATTGATCTTATTGAATATGCAAAGGGTATCTAACCCACACGATTCAAGAAAAGAGTACTAAAGATTCTAACAAGTCAACCATGTGACTATTCGTGGTAGAAAGCCGTAAGTGGCATATTTACAACAAAAAGTTTACGAGGAAGTGAACAGGCATTCATAGCGCAGGATGTAACAAAGCTTAATGAAATCAGAGATGAGAGTATTAGCCAGGAGGAAGAAAGCAATTCCATTCAAGATAGTGAATTTTGATGGCCGTTACTGCCACTCCAACCCTTGCTTCCCCCTTCTGCTATTTTTTGTATAGAGAAACACTATATAGAGAAGCTCAATGCGGGCGAGTGCTGTCATATCTCCTTTTCTAATATTTGGCACAGCGGTGCCGCCCTTAAAAGGAGGGGGGGGGCTATGCTGCAGGTAACCTCTTAATGCTATACCCATACCTTGAACCATATATGGGGACTGAGCCACGCCCTAACCCCGGAATCTCTCTGAGTTCCCGAACTCTACTCTCTGAGTTACACATGGTTTTTTTAACAAAACTCTAAAGAATAGGATTTTTCGCCTTTGACATTTACTTTCGTGGCTGTTGCATATTTCTATTAAAGTTGGAAGTCAAACTTGGAATTCAGTGTTTATATCGAATCAGCAAAAATCGTATTTTCTTCGTTTAAATGCACCGAAGTGTACATCCCTACCAATTCGACCAGAAAGTCTTCTCCGTTTTTAAACCTCAACCCTCGTAGAAAATCTCTTTGCAGACCTTCCAATTAGCCAGATCTTCTACTTGATTTTGCTGCTCAATTTTATCTTCCTGTCAGATGAGCCTTATTCTTCATAGTAAAAAAACTCCATATGATTTTAACTAGCAAGGTGCCACATTTGTGGCGAGATCATCTTGCAAAATTCCAGTCGAACTTATAAGAAATTTTACGATATCAATTAAATCTTTATAGCAAAGCCACTACTCAATGCTGTGATATAAAGACACTTTTTTAAATCAACTTCAGTTTATTTGAGATCGCTTTTATTTACATGCTGCCGTATTTATAGATGGTTTTGTAGAAATCAGATAAGGGCTTTCCTGACCTGCTTCCCCAACCAGATAAAGGGCAAAAACGTAATTGCATCAGCGAATGGATGTTCAATCGGAATATTCGTCAAATTGGCAATTTCTCAGACAACGTGCCACGCCTAGTGGTACCAATAAGCGATTGTAATGCTTATTGAACTTGTCTGAAATTCGGAATTACAGTAAACTTCCTATGATTCAAAACTCCCAGGGACCAATAGAATGGTTCAAGATAGCGAAAGTTTTCGTTAACCGAGGGGGTGGGGTGGGGTGGAGGGAGTTATATATGGAAGTATTTGTCAAGGGAAATGCAATATTAGTTCGATTTAGCGAGTGTTCTTCTTATCGGGAGTTTACATTATAGCCACAAAATAGAGGCAGCTGCTCTCACAAAAAGCAGCATGCAAAAACATGTTTTCATTATTGTCACTGGTGATTTATAATTTATTGCGTTTATCAAGCGGCTTATTCACTCTTATCATTCTTAAAAGCATTTCTGTCGAGCAAGTAACGTGGCAATTCTTAATGTGTGCAGAAAATTGCTAGTTTTTACTGAGATTACTCTATACAAATACCGAGCTCTCGAAAATTTTTAGAATCAAGTGCTAGGAAGAATTTACAGCCTTGCTACAAAAACATTTAAGATCTTTTGTCTTTGCACTTTGAGAGCTCCTTTTTCTCTGAAACCTTTAGATATTGAAGTTTTCTATTGAAGCTATAGCAAGCACTTTCTGATGCGGTGTTCTCAGCCTTTACCATAAAATATAACAGTTACATCTCCCAGTTGTCTCAAAATATTGCCTATTGAGCATACCTCAAATCCTCGAATTAGCCCCCTGGGGGCTTGTTTATTCTTGAAATATTTGGATGGGGGACTTATACTAGGGAGGGGGGGGCTTATAAAATTATTGTAGACATTTAAAATACATTTTTAAAAGACCTCGATTATTTCAGTAGGAATTTCTTTATGAGCATTTAAGTAATTACTACCAAAAGTATGGGGGGCTTATTTGCGGGGGGGGGGCTTATTTACAATTTGTAGTTCTGGGGTGAGGGCTAGTTCGAGGGGGGCGGGCCAATTCGAGGATTTACGGTTTATCGCCTTTAATTACTCCAAGGTTAAAATTCCAAGGCACAACCTATATATTACAAGAAGAGTTCCACTCAGCCCTGAAGAGTGAGAATGGTATTTTACCACGAACTTCTCTTCATATCTTACAGGATCTCTGGACAAACTGCCAAATGAATTGTATAGAAAAGACTAATCATTTCTTAATTTGTTTAGACTGTACGTAATAAAGAATTCTTTTACGTAAAGTTTTATACACGTTGAATTAGTCGCTTTGATCTATCTAAAATAGGATAGTTGTAGGTTGCAACTCCGTATTCCACAATTGATGAGATTATCAGACGACTTGCACAGAACTGCCTTTATGACATCGAGCAGTATGTAGAATTTTCATTACGTGTATATTTCCATAGCAAAAGAAGTCATAGAGTATAAATGATCATTGTTCTAGCTGGCCAGCGTAGTCTTTCCTCCATTTATAATCTACCCCATTTCCTTTGTGAAAATATTCTTTTTGCCGACTTTCCTCGCAATATAATTTCACAAATGCAAATACAGTCAACTCTGTCTAATTTGGACCGTCTGGGGGATCATCAAAATGTTCAAAACACAAAATTTTCGATTTTTTTCCAAATAACCTGGACTTTGCCTCATTTATCTCTACCTCAGCTATATAATTAGCCTTTATCCATATAATTACAACTTGCCCAGTAATTGTAAATAGAAGGACACTATTTCATAACTTTTTTTTTTTTTAAAGAATGCAACGCAAAATGGGCAAGACCGTTAGTATTTCAGAGCTCGGCAAAGGACAGGCCAATACTGCCAAGAGTTCGGAAGGAGCATCTTCTATATATAAAAGAACTGACTTAAATAAAAGCCATAATTACACTAACGTCAATTTTAAGAGAGTTTTATAAAAAAAGTACTTATATCGCTTGCATATTTCCTGAAATTCGCAGAAAGATCGAGCTAGAAATATTATTTTCCAGAGGGGACCGAAAAATTGGTCGCATTACGAAAAGTTTGAATTAAAGAGGCGTTTGTAAGGATTTGTTAGGAGATTTCCAAGGGACTTGTGAATTTTTTCGAATTAGTATAAGTTTGAATTACACGAGGTCGGATTAGACAGAGTCAACTGTAGCATTGCTTCAACCCATTTGACAAATATAGAAATGTTATGATTTGAAAGTAGGTTCTTGTTCTTCGGACTTATTGCATAAGAAAACAAACATAACTATACTTCTTACTTGATAACGGGCTATGCTCGAAACGTCGTTATTTATTTTAAAAACATTTTTCTGGTACAATTTACTAACATTGATTGTTATTGTAACTATAATCCGATGCTAAAGGGCTTTAGGATTATAAGAAAGTATTTTCTGTATAATATACATGTTAAATGCAAGCATGTAGCATTTGTTTGAAGATGGGATTCGACTAAAGAAAATGTGATTTGTCTAGCTCAGTTCTAAAAGATAGCTTATTAGCTCGACCCTTTTGAGTAGATAGTTGCCAAAATCTAATAGTATGCAGGAAAATATTTTTTATTTAAATAACATTGCTCTATAACGTGCAGGTAAGATGATGAATGTAATTCAATTGTGAGAATCTACCATTTTCGGTGCTCTGATTTTCGGCACACTGCAAGAACATGCATTTTCGTAAACATTATACAGTACAAGAAAGAAAAAGAACCTGGCTGTATTGCATTCATCAATAATATATCAACAGCATTTAAATCAGGCTGTCACTGAAATTCAAATTTGCTCATTCATAATTTAGCAGCTGAAAGTCAGAAAAAAGCGTCGTTATAACAAAGATACTTTGTTGCTGAAAAGGTTTTGTACATCATATCTGATAGCTGACAGTGGCAACTGGCTATACCACGCCTTACCTTAAGAATTAGCTAGGTTTTTGGATTATCCTATCGCATCTCATTATATACATTATGATGCAATCTTTGCAATTCATGCATATGATTCATGCATAACAATATACAAGAGAAAAGGTAATAGGAGACAATTAAAAAACTGGCGAGGAATATTTCTGACTATCAATATCAGCAAAATCTTTGAAAAGCTGATACTAAATAGGCTAAGGAAAAACTATAGAAAATGGCTTTTCAGAGGCTGCTGCTGGTAGGAGAAAGGGAAGATCAACCCTAGATCGCCTAGTTATGTGGCAAGCAGTGATTGATTACTACAAATACATTAAATGTTATATTAACTTAGTTTTCCTTGATTTGGAAAAAGCTTTTGACAAATTATGTTTGAAATCATGTTTACTAAATTTATATAAATGTGGAGTGAAAGGTAAATACCTAAAAAGCATCTATGAATTGAACAAAGAAGGCTGTATACAAATGAATACATCATGTGGAAAAACTCAGGATATTGAAATAGGTGAAAATCTTAAACAAGGCACAATATTAGTAGCCCCGATATGTGCAAATCACATTGATAAAGGAATGGAACCTATAATTAAAAAGAGTCTAGGAATACGATAAGGAAGGATGGTTATCCCACCTCCATGGTATCAAGATGATATTATGTTTGCATCTATTTCAATAGAGAAAATGCAACAAATGTTGAACATAGCAGAAGAATTTCACAAACAAAACCAACTAAATGTTAAGCTTGATAAGAGTGAAAGAATGAAAATGAATTGAAAAAATAAGCAGAGTAGAAATCAAGGTAAGAAACTAAAGCTAACTGAGGCAACCCAAAAAGAGGTGAGCAAATATAGATACCTAGGAG